TTAAGCACAAGAATGAGTAATTCAATATCACCTTCTTCCTATTACTTAATCTTATTTATTAAGTCTCTAATCATAATCATCTCCTTAATCCAACCATCCCTCTGTATCATCCCTTCCGGCGGCGGCTACTGGCAGCTGTTACAAAGCAGCGTAGGTGTATCCGCCATGCACATGCAACTCCTCAAAAACGACCGTGTTATCTTCTTCGATCGAACAGATTTCGGCCAATCTAATTTACTATTACCAGATGGAAAATGTCGATATGATCCAAACGATACTGCTCTAATCATTGACTGTACAGCACACTCCATTGAATACAACTTCCTTTCCAACACTTTCAGACCTCTCATGGTGCAGACTGACGTCTGGTGTTCATCCGGCTCCGTCATGCCCGACGGCCGCTTAATCCAGACCGGCGGATTCAACGATGGCGAGCGGAAAGTCAGAGTATTCAACCCATGTGATAACTGTGACTGGTTAGAAATCGATGATGGGTTAGCTGTTCGTCGATGGTATGCCACTAATCATGTTCTTCCAGATGGTCGTCAGATCATAATCGGTGGTAGAAAACAATTTAATTACGAGTTTTATCCGAAGAATTCTGATTCGTCTTATTATAATCTCCCATTCTTGATGGAAACAAATGACCCAGAAGAAAATAATTTATACCCTTTTGTTTATTTAAATGTTGATGGAAATTTATTTATTTTTGCTAATAATCGAGCGATTTTGTTAAATTATGTGATGAATAAAGTCGTGAAAACGTACCCATGTATCCCAGGTGGTGATCCAAGAAGTTACCCTAGTTCAGGTTCTTCAGTTCTTCTTCCATTAAAGAACCTTCAAGCTCCTGTATTAGAAGCTGAGGTTTTGGTTTGTGGGGGTGCACCTAAAGGGTCTTATCAACTAGCTTCAATGGGTATTTTCATGGAAGCTTTAAACACATGTGGGAGAATCAAGATAACAGATTCAAATCCAGAATGGGTAATGGAAACCATGCCTCAATCTAGGGTAATGGGTGATATGATATTACTTCCAAATGGTCATATTCTGATCATTAATGGTGCATCAAGGGGAACAGCAGGTTGGGAGTTAGGAAGAAATCCAGTTCTTACACCTGTTATATATAAACCCGAATATACAATCGGATTCAGATTCGAAATCCAAAACCCATCCACCATTCCCAGAATGTATCACTCTGCAGCTATCTTACTCCGAGATGGAAGAATTCTAGTTGGTGGAAGTAACCCTCATGTGTTCTACAACTTCTCCGACGTCGTTTACCCAACTGAGTTAAGCTTAGAAGCTTTCAGTCCGCCATATCTAGACCTTCAATTCTCCAACTTACGTCCAAAGATTTTCTCGCCACCTTCTTACTCCATGCTTGGATATAATCAAATACTCAGAGTTGAATTCACAGTGACAGACATGTTAGTTTCTGCTGATCAAGAAATAGTGGTGAGTGTAACAATGGCGGCTCCATCGTTTACAACACATTCATTTGGTATGAATCAGAGGATTTTGATACTGGGAAATCAGAAAGCTAGTAGCTTGGGAGGATCTGTATATCAAGTTTTTGTTACAACACCGAGTTCAGTAAATCTTGCACCCTTTGGATATTATCTTCTCTTTGTGGCTTATCAAGATATACCCAGTGAAGGTATTTGGGTTAGCATGCAATGATTTTCTTCATCTTTTTCTTTTTCCCCCTAAATTTGTTGTTTTTGTATATATATATAATATTGAGGTTGTAACTAGTTGTGTTATAATTCTTTTTTCCTTTGAAAGAGTAGTATGCTTCTTTTAATTACTAAGATATATATATAATCATTTACATATATATATATATATAAATATATATTTTCATTAAAAGCTTGGTCACTTAATAACTAAATATATATATATATATATATATATATTCATTAAAAGCTTGGAAAGACAACCAAAAAACTATTCTATAAAATGTATTATTAGAAGTGCATTAATTATATAAGCTGCAGCTAAATTTTTTCAGTTGAACTAATTATAATATTTTAAAAACTCAATTTAATTTTTTTATCTCTTAATATATATATATATATATATATATAAACTAAGTTGTTATTATAGATTTGGAATCTAATTAAATTGCAATGCACTTATATATTGCATTTACATTTGGACTTTGGGTAGATAGTATGTAATGCCCAAGTTTGAATTTAATGTAAATTAAATTTATCTAAATGTAATTTTTTTAATTTTAAGTTAGAGAAAAAATGAAATAAATTTGATGGATGATGAAATTGAAAAATAATTTTGAGGAAGAAGGGTAAAAATTTGGGTTTTGTGAGTATTTTTCAAAGAAAAATCGAAAACCGGTGGTCAAAATATAATTTAAAGAAGTTTTGCCACGTAGGATGCCGGGTCAGTAGGTTTGACGAATCAGGACGCGCCGTGTGACAGCGGACGCTGACGCAATGCCATGCGGGAGGCCACGTGGGCGATCTGCGTGCCCGCGATCGAACGACCCAGATCCGTTCCCACGCGCACGGACGGCTCGGATGTGTTCCCTCCCCAACGCGATCAGATGGTCAGATTTAAACGCGATCAGACAGTTCATATTGGATTGCGATGAACGGTCTAGATTAGATCGCGATGAACGGTCCAGATTAAATGCGAACGGATATAAATAACCCCTATTCGTACTAAACCCTAACCTTAGCCGCCAAACCCCCTCGCCGGAGAAGAAGACCCAGCCGCTGGAAAGGAGATCGCCGCCACCTTGCCGGAGCCCTTTCTGACCGCTAAAAGAGGTAAAAATTCTCTCATTTGCTCAAAATTCAATTTTGAACACACTAATGACCAAATCGGAGTAAAAGGACCGATTGATTGGCCCAAAAATATTGGCGAAGTCCGGCGGCACCGTCGCAGGGAATTTCACAAAACGCCTCCGATGAGGCCCTTCCCGGTTCTCGTTCTACGTAATTTTTCTACTGTTGTGATCACTGTTTCCTTCTCTACAAGTTGACCGGAGCAAAACACCTAACCGCAACGTGAGCCTGAGGAGTCACAGCACTGAAGTGCCCCGCCGCCGGTGAGTTTCGATTTTTTGTGTTTTTTCGACCAACCGAAACCCCTTAATATGTTTTCTTGCAGGGATTGATGCAGAATGGGCCGAAAACAGCCGACACGAGGCAGACCGCCGCCGCGTCAAAATATCAGAATTGGCCAAAGTGGGCCCTAAACTAATTTTGGGTTTGTTGGGGATATTTATAGGTATTTATAGCGCATTTTGATTCCAAAAAAAATT